CCAACCAGGATTACTTATTTACTTTCTAATTTCGGTCTTCTTTAGTTTCCAAGTGGCGCAGACACTCGACTAAAAAATTCCAAACTGGAAGCGATTTTCGTTGCAAAAGAAATTAACGTGATAACGCGATAACGCGTTAATCGCGAATAATTTTTGATTCTAATCAGTTGATCGACACGAAGCGAGAACAACACTCAACGGCTATTCGGCTAACGGGCATCGTTGCATGGTAAACACAAAAAAGAAAAAAAGAAAAAAAAAACAGAAAAAAAATATCAAGACAAGATAAAGTGCTACAGAAAGCGATCGAGTTCGTGAATTGTAACGTTTTAACCGGATTCACTCGGTATATTGTGCAACTGTCATAGTTCAATTGCTATTCAATACGAAAAGAGAAGAGAGGGGCTAATTGCGAATTCACCTGTAGCTACTTGCCGGTAACTATGTACGTGTTTACATTACCGACCGATATCTAGCTCGAATTCCAACGAAATTTCAACGATCAAACGATACCACACGCGTTGCAAGACCAGCAAATTACGTTTCTCCGTTGGAAAAACTGCTATGCTTTCCGTGTAACGAACCGAACAGAGAAAAATGAAAATGAGTACAAGCCAAAATAACGAACAACAAAATCGATAAATGAAAAAGAAACGTGCGAATTACGGCACGTACGCGCCTCTGTTTGTGACAAAACGAACTGCAGAGAATTTTATTTACACGGAATCTATTATTCAGCACAGTCGCGAGTGTGCATTCATGATTTTGAATTCTCACAAATCAAGCTTTCAATGGATATGTGATTTCATCAATAACACCAACAGCATTGTCAATCATTTGAAACTTATTCACGGTGACTTTCTAGAGAAAGATAAAAGAACATACGACCTTGGACAAATGTTTGACGAGACAACAAAAAAATTACTTTCCTATAAATAGGAAATACGAGTCCGCTGTTCCAACATTCGTTGTCAGAGCAATTTTAGTGTATTCACGTTCCAACTAGTGGTAGTATCCTCAAATTTCATCTTGCAAGGTCAAAAGACCGAGCAATTGTTTTCAACTGCCGGGTCCATCAACGAGTCCCTTCAAAACATTAGTTCGTTCTCCACTAACTCAATCCAGTCGGGCAGAGAAAACTCGAGTCTTTAATTGGTCGAACGTGTTGGGAAGATGTAAAGATAAGAGAGATACGAAAAGAATTTTTTAATGAAAAATCAAACCCAGATGGAAAACATCAAAGTTCGTTTCAGAATCACGAAAATCGAAAATAGGAAATGTTTTACGACGAAGGGCAGAATTTTTCAAAACAAACCGCGAGAAGTCAAATCTCTCTTCTGAAGTGATAGAAATTTCTTCTCTTACGGTTATTTTCGTTTCTCAGTCAAGCTAAAAGTTCCATTCTAGAATCCGAGTTTATTTAACAATCCTATCTATCATAGGCCTGTACGAGTATTTTGAAAACATGCCTTCTAGTCAAAAGTAATTTTTAAGCGTGAAACTTCAAATCGATGCGTATATATACATATTCTTCAAGAAGAACGAAAAACAGAAAAAAGAAAAATAGAAAAAATTTGGGAAACGTTGACAACGGTGGGAAAAATCTTGCACGGTAGCATCGTAACGATACCTCGCTACGAAATACTAAGTACACTCGACCGCCTTTGAAACCGGTATAAAAAGGCCGAGCGACAGGCCACTGGAACACGCTGTTAAATAGGCCGCGAACTACTACGAAGGAAATGATTAATCACCGCGAAACCATCTTCTCGCCTTAAAAATTACTCACACGACGAATGCGATCAATTGATATCCTCCTGTGCAATATTGCTTCTAATTCGCACTCGCGATATCATCGAGAAAGGGAAAGTAATTCGCCATTTTATTTTTAACTTTTCCTTACAAGTATAATCTTAATCTTATTTTCGTCTTTCCTGCGTATATACACTAACACATTTGTTACTCGTAATAATATTCAAGTAATTCGCCATTTTATTTTTAACATCTTCTTATCAGTACAATCTTAACCTTATTCTCATCTTTTTTACATACATGCACTAACACATTTGTCTGTCTCCTTGCATTTGCTATCTTATTCTAATAATATTTGGTAATTATGCAACTACTTGTAAAAGTGCAAATCCTAAATAATCATAAAATTATCATGTCCATTTAAGTTGAACAGCTTTTTCTGTCATTTAAAGATGAGGTTATGTTGTATATTGCTTCCGTCTATTGTTTCATATAACATTTGTGAGTAATGTATTATCAAACCAATAATCAATAAAATAATTTGTTACATATTTGTTTCTATCTCTTTGTATTTACCATTTTGTTCTAGTGATATTTAACAAATATCATATAATTACTTGTATAAATGCTTATAAAATCATTATATCTATTTAAGTTGAACAGCTTTCCTTGTCATTTGAAGATGAGGTTATGTTGTTCCTTCTATTGTTTGTCACTTGAGCAACAGAACTTGTGTGTAATGCATTACCAAACATACAATTGTAAAAATAGTTTATTACGCACCATTTTAAAGTTAATAAAGAGGTTAAAACATTGAGCTGTCTTTAAACCGAAGCACTATCTTTGCTTATTATGGTACGACTACTCGATTATTTCTTATCTTGATTATTTCACAGTGATAATATTAAAAGAAAGTCTAAATAAAATGCTTTAATTTATTTGGTCAAGTGAATCATTCTTTGAAATGTGGCAGTTTTGTAAGTTTCAACTTATATGATAACATGTATCAACTAGCAAACATCAAAAATCATGATTAAAATCAAACTATTTTATCAAAGATCTATCCTAATTTAAGGAAAAACTTATTATCTGATCATTGTCAAATGTGCACATTACTGGTAGATACCTTCTACGATGCAGACTTTGAAAATAGACAACTTTATGAGATATTCACTTCGAATGTACACAGTGATCCTTCATATGTTAACCAAAATAGATATCACAATGACTACTATTCTTTTTTACTTGGATTAAAGGCATATTTTCATTACATGTTAGTCTCTCTTTTTCTCCTCTCTCTTTCTCTCTCTCTCTCTCTCTCTCTCTCTCTCTCTTCTTCACTCATACTTTTTCTCTCTCCATAGAAAAATAAAAATACAAACATAGAGAAGTGACAGAATGTACTTACTCTGCAAGTAGTAGACAATTTAGGAAAGGTGGAGGTGCTACTGCTGGCAAACTGGGTAGGCAAGACGGTGGTGGAGAACCGGTAAGTTGTTTCGGAATGATACATGAACATCGGATGGCATAGGACACACGTAGCGATGATCGTTTGTACTGCTCGTACGCACTAGTATAACCGTCCATGTACTAGGATCGTCACCCGGCGAAAATCTTACGTATATATCCAAGTAGTGAAGGAATCGAGACTTGATACGTACGGTACGATAAAATACGATACGGTACGGTACGATACGGTACGCTACAGCAAAGCAAGGCACGACACGATACGATACGATACGATACGATAAAACACGACACTACACAGCACGGCACGGCACGGCACGGCACAGCACGGCACGGCACGGCACGGCACGGCACGACACGGCACGGTACGACACGACACGATACTACACGACACGACACGACACGATACTACACGACACGACACGACATGACACGATACGATACAATACGGTACGATACGACACAACACGGTTTAAGAAAGGATTGGTCGCAACACACGGGATACGCACTAAAAATGTAGCGAATATCGTAGAATTAGAGATCACCACCTCGAGAACCACCGTTAAGACTGTTGGAATACTATGTGTGTGACGGCGGGGGCTACGGATTAATATGGCCGTCCCTCGTTGACACAAAGTTTCGAGTCACAGATAAAACGTAGCCGGAAGGAAATGCGAGAAACAGGTTGATCGGAATATCGTTGGCAAGAGAGAGGCTTGTTCGCGTATGACGCGCACGCATTTGTTTCACCTGCGACACCACACACCACCCGCGATTCTCCAGCTATCATACACTCACTTCCGTGTATCACCCTGCTCCCGTATTCTCCACGCGCTTTTCCACTTTTCTTCTCTCCTTCCTTCTTACTTCCGCTCTCCGGCAGGCTGCTCGTCCGCTCCTCTCTCTGTCACATACGATTCCCTTCAACCTCTCGCTGGGCACGTTCCTCGTTCGTCCTCCCTCTCTTCTTTCGCCTCTCCTCGGCTCGTCGTTTTCGTCAAACACTGCGAGAGGGTTCCAGCGAATACCACGCTCGCCTTTCAAATTCTCGGATATCTTCTCGCTGTGTCGCGTTCTCGTACGAGCGCACCACGAGGGTCGCGGAAGCATTCGAATAATCACCTTCTTTTCACGCTTTTCGAGGACGTGACGCGGCCTTGCTACGAACAACGTCAACATCACAACCGTACGCTTTCATGGCGGCCATCTTTTCGGGATACGCGAATCGCGGAACGGGAAACGCACACGCGTATATCTCCAACACATGTATACACGTGGCTGCCGCACACCTACGTACACGCAGCACTCTTTCGCTACGTGTGCTCGACACAACGATAATCAAGAGCGAGAGAGACACTAGCGCGCACACGCACACACGTGCAACTTGACCGTACTAGCCTGGATATTTGGACAGCGAACGGCAATTCACATACAACCGGAGAATAGGCAATGGTTGATGTTTCTTGTTTAACGGGGAATTGTGGCGCTGCTGTCTCCTCTCGTTTGTTATTTTCCTCTTTATTCGTTTCCCCCTATAACCATTGCACGGTTTCTCGACCAATCGCAATCTCCGTTCTTACTGTAATCGAGATCATCGTCTAGGGATTTTTCTACTTCCGAATCTTTCCACTTCTAGTTGAAGCTTCCTTCCACGGTAATTTGCGCGCCATTTTTTTAAATTACCTCTCTCGTTCGATATTCCCACTCAGACGTATCAAATGTTATTTTTACGTTTATTTGCGTGTACAGATTGCAACGAACGAACAAACACATGTAAGACATGTTCTCATAAAGTTTTTATTTGTATTTAATATAATATTTAACATCGAAAGATTGTGCGTTTGAGGTAGTAGGTATCGATAAAGTGAATCAAAAATTCTTGCTGCAAATAAATATCTATTTGCTTGTGTATAGAACAATAGTTTTCCCAAAATAGCTACGCCCCTTAATCTATCATATACGTATCAAATCTTCATATAAAATTACACTTTTTGGATATTAAAAATTGACACAATTCTCAAGTATAATATTCTTCTCTTAAAACATGTATGTACAAAAGCTAACCCTTTTTGTGCAAACTTTTCTTGGTACATTGACACGAGCGAAATTTGTACGTTTTCGTACGTACAATAAATGCTCAAAAACGGAATGCACTGTATCTTTGATATTTGTAAAAATATAATGTAGCTTCACGTACATTTTGATATGGCAGTTGGTTTGACATCAGAACAAACGATACCGGTACCTTTATCTAATATTTACGATTACAATTTCAATACTTCTTGGACTGCAGCAACGATTTTGCTTGCACTAATTCCATATTTATCCAACAACAGGTTTGAAGGGCCGGAACGTGGCACTTCGGTAACAGCTAGTTTCTTAACAACGATGTTTCTTTCCAAGGCAACTACCGAAGTAACGGCTTCCCCTAGACCACCTTCCGGGTAATGATCTTCCACGGTAACGATTCTTCCTCCAACTTCTTTAGCATTCTTTACGATCAATTGAGCATCAAGTGGTTTAACCGTAAACGGATCGATCACTCGAACGTTTACTCCCACTTTAGATAATTCGTCGGCAGCTTTAAGTGCTTCGTACAGAGTCACGCCAGCCCCAACTACGAGAATTTGATCTTTCGGGGAAGATTTGACCACTTTGCCATTGCCGATGGCAAAAGGTTCTTCGTTTTTATATATAACCGCCGTGGCAGGACGCGACGTGCGTATGAAGCAAATACCCTTTGTATTTGCTGCTAATTCGATGGCACGTTCCGTAGAAACGGCATCGGATGGGTAAAAAACGGTAGAGCCAGGAATTGTACGGAACATGGCTATATCCTCCAGACCCATTTGCGAAGGGCCGTCCTCTCCAATCGAAACACCGCAATGAGAACCAACGAAATTAACGTTCGTTTGTGAAATAGCACCCATACGAATCTATTAAATTAAAAATGACGTCAAGTGATATGCTCATTTTTCTCATTCGCATTTTCATGCCTTACCTGATCAAAAGCACGAGTGAAGAAAGTAGCAAACGCAGATACAAATGCGACAGTTCTGTTCCTGCATGTTGCACCAATTGCCACTCCTACAACATTCTGCTCGGCAATAAAGCATTCAATGAATCTAGTTGGATCAACCGTTTTGATTTTCTCCGCATATGTAGAATTCTTCGTGTCTCCGTCTAGAGCAATGACACGATTGTTGTTCTTTGCCAGCTAGATTAAAACGTAACAAAAGATGTAGCTAACAAGTGATAACAAAATGTATAACTGAAAAAAAAAGGATACGAACCTTAGCCAAAGCAGTACCATAAGCCAATCTGGTAGCAACTTGTTCTCCCAGTTTATAATTCGGAGGTGATGCTAATTTAACGTTATTAAGATCTACAGCCGGAGCATCGTCGACCAATGGTTTTTGAGGATGCAACCCCAAAGGACCAGAATTTTTCAACATTTTAGTCAAATGCTGCAATCGAGCGATTTATTAATCCAAGATATAAAATTATTTGTATTATGCAAGAATTGCAATCTTTACTTGAATGACTTCATTTGCTTTGTTACCAAGCGGCTTTCCGTGCCAATTTTCAAGATCTTCGATATTGGGAAAGTATTTTCCCTTAAACGTCTTTGCTAGAATAGCGGTAGGTTGTCCTTTTGTATTCTGCGCTTCGTGGAAAGCCTAATAAATAAAATGTTATTTTGAATTTCTTTTATTCGCAATTGATTTCTATCAACATGTATTTCTCTATCTCGTATACAGACCTTGGCCAACTCTTCTACGTCATGACCATCAACCACCAGTGCGTTGAAACCAAAAGCTTCAAGTCTTTTGCGGTAGATTTCCATATTGTGCTGAAGAGATGTCGGTTCACTTTGTCCCAAACGATTAATATCGAAGATAGCACAAAGATTATCTAGCTTATAATAAGAAGCAAAGTGAAGTGCTTCCCATATTGAGCCTTCAGCTGCTTCTCCATCACCAATCAGACAGTACACGCTACATAAATATTAACATAAGTTTATTACCACATATCGAACAGAAATATTTAAGACAGATAGTAAAAGATAATTATTAGATATTGAACGATAACACACCGATAGCTAGCCTTATCAAAGTATTTTCCTACGTAAGCCATTCCAGCAGAAACTGAAAGGCCTTGCCCCAAAGAACCAGTTCCCACATCGACAAAGTTAAGCCTTGGAGTGGGATGTCCTTCTAAATCGCTGTCAATTTTCCTTAAATTTAACAATTCAGTCGCTGGGAAAAGTCCTGCTTCTGCCCATGCTGTAATTATATGAATCGTGTTATATGCCTTGGAACTTGACTTCATGGAATAATCAATTAATGCAAATAAGGCATTTACCTGCGTAAAGAATAGGTGCTGCATGACCTTTGCTCAGCACAAATCTATCATTGCTTGGATCACGTGGTGCCGACACTTTGTAACGCATTGTGTGAAAAAATAAGACAGACATAATTTCCGCCATCGAAGAACATGATGTTGGATGTCTAAATATTTAAAAGAAAAAAATAAATAAATAAATGATAATATTAAAAAGAAAACGGGCACAAAATTAAATAAGTGAATACACCGAGTATTCTAATATTAAAATTCTAAGAACATATATTGTAATAAGTTAGATAGTAGTGAAGTGTTATCTTCGAAGGTCACAGAGGTCATCAATCTCGATCATACGATCGTTGAATATCGAAATCGTAATTATGTAACACGATCTGTAAAAAAAGCAACGGTCATTAACTATATTGCTAATAATAAATTTCTCTCCTTTTCTTATTATATTTTTTGTGTTAAAATCAATTCATCAACAACGATGATAATTTAGTTCCTCGAATTACGTTGATCGAATAACGACTAATACTAGCAGTAATATAAAACTTTTCGACAGTTAATAAGTTAATATATTATCTTTTATATTTCTATCCTTCTGTGTTCTTTATTATTTGCTGAATTTTTCTCAATTTCAATTTCATTTGATAATTTTGTTTCATTTTGCCCGTACAATTACTGTCCAACAGCATGCTAAATGAGAAACTTTTGTAAATATTCAGATAATCAACAATCGCTGATTTTTCGTCGAACATTTTCAAATAAAATAAAACAATTAATACACGCCTCGCCGTAAGAACACGCTCTAACGTATAATTATGCGACTGTCGCGTCGCATAATTATTATTAAATTATTAATCGTCACGAAATTTTCGTAATACGACAATTCATCGATTTACTTCTCTTACGCTAAAATCTAATCGTATCCGGAAAGATTACGAAGAAAATGTTGAAATATAACTAAGAGAGAACGTGTCGATAATCTACACGAGACGAGAGCGAGGTTTTAATACGAAAGTAACAAGCGTGGAAAATACGTTTTAATTTCGACGAGGGTACGTGAAAATTTTCGAGAGCAAGTTTTTTCACTCGCGTCATACCCGCTTTTCGATGCCTCAGTTGCCTGAATACTCTCAATGCGGAGCTTGGTTGCAAGGTCCTGGAGTTTCTCCATGTTCGTGTCACGCACCATTTTAAACTTTGAACCGTAAGGAATTTCGGAAGTTGTCTCTCGGTGACCGTTCGATAGCAACTAAGGGGACACGATTGTACGATAGTTCGCGAGACGAGTAACTGCGCGCTGGAGCTCCCTACTTTCCTCCAAACCTTCCTCTCTATCGTAGATTTCAAAATCAACGCGTTCACGTTTCGTGGATATGAGCCAGTTTTGGAACTCATCTATCGCTACGAACAATACACGAACAGCAAGAGCATCTTATTTCTAACGGAGCACGTTTTATCGTCTCTTCAATAAATCATTATTATTGCTCCAAATGAAATTATTATAACGTATGAAAAAATTTGTTTCATAATTTAACAAAATATCGTAATGAAATAATTATTTTATAGACATGAAAAAATTTTTTTTGTAATTTAATAAAATCGTAATGGAAATTATTTTGTAACTATCCAAAAGATATGTTGATAATAATATGAATTTCAATACAAGTAGCGAACGAAAGTTTTAATAATTTAAGTTGCACGAATTCCGTTACGAAAGTTGTAGTTGCCGCGAAGAAGCAAACAATAGACAATTGAAAAGTTATTTCTATTTCTACTTGTGGATAAGAAATTTCAAATGACATGCAACTCTTGATTATTCAGCATTATCGTACGTTCGTTACGTAACTGCTTCGTGCATTTTGGTATTGTGCACGTGTCGCTAATGCGATTGCCATGTATAAAAAGAAGTATAAGTAAACATGTACGATGTCTATCTTCGTGACTACCTTTTTTAAAGCTTTGAAATTCTTTTTACAATGTCAATCACGCGATAATTTCCGTCAAACCCATCGTCAAATTATTGTTGTACATAAAAGTGTAATTTACAACTGACACGAAATAATAACACGATATGTATTTGTATGTAAGTCTGTTCCTTTCTTACATTTATTAGATTTATGTGCAAAGTTTCTATAATATTTTAATACCACTTTGACCGAAACTCGTTAAAAATAAAACCTCACCTCACGTTTTTTTTTGCTTAGACGTCAATTCGATTTCTATGTATTAAACATGAATACGAAATGAAATTATAGAACTACCTTGAACCGTGAAACGCAATGTAATAAGATATACGATATAAAAAATGATACGACGTTAAATACATGCACTGATAACTCGGGCAAGTATATGAAAATAAATTAATGTGATGCTGAAAGGTACATAATTCTAGGGAAAACTCTTGTACATACTACGTACATGCATACATACAAACTCTTGTACATACATACGTACGTTGTACAACGTAATTGATTCTAAAGCAAACACTCTCTTTTCGTACCATTTTTATCGGGACAATCTTCGCGCGCGATTCTACCAGTGTTCGAATTTTGTTAAAGCTTGATCGAGAAGGTGATCAAAAAAACTAACAACGATACAACGATCTCCGTTGATTTGTAAGAGAGACGTTCGACGAACAATTTATTAATGACACCGCTATTATAAAGTATATCACACACATACCCGGATTTACTGGCTTGTGTGGCACTGATCGAGTGAATTCTCAATTTTGTTGCAATGTCTTTCAACTCTTGAATGGTTTTCGATTCCGGTTTGTGATAGTTTGCCATTTTCCCCGTGCACGACGTGACGACTTCTTAAAACTGTAACAATCTCCGGAGAAAACTTCGGGAAAAAATGCTGACCACGAGACCTATTTCCCAGCAACAAGTAGAATTCGCGCAAGCACGATCTAAGTCGGATATAGAGAAGAATTCAAACTCTGAATTCGAACGCAATTTATTCCCCAACAATATTCTTCCATTGTTCCTAGATGGCACTGTACTGATTTTCATAATACATATATGTGTATTTATTATTTACGTAGCCACAAATTATTTTCTTTATTGTAAAAGAATTAAAGTTTGGCAATATCCTTCGTAAATTCAAAAGAACTTAATCTTAATTAGTGTTAATTTCAATTAATCTTTTCTCCTTTCGAGCAAACTGCTGTATACGCGGTAAATTATGTAATTTACACGCAATACAAATATGGAAGAGGTACTTTGATTGAACTTTCACGTACGATATTAATGTAATAACAAATTTATTCGACGTTTAGGAACAGGATTCGTAGTGTTATGTTTAATACTACTAATATCAAAGTATTCATTTATAACTTTACGTTAGTTACCGAGAATAAATTACTCAATTAAAATTACAGAAATATGTGTAGAAATTTTTACGCTAGATTGTAGTAAAAATAATCGTAATCCATAAAAATTGCATATATAGAACCAAATTACAGATTATAAGGTAATGTACAAGTCTACAATATTGCGCAATCTTCAATCTTTAACGTAACGTTTTACATTGTTTTTCTTTTTTTCTCTTCATACTGCAATGAAAATTATTAAATCTTTGTACAAATGTTACTATTAACTAATACTTGATATTTGTAGCGAATACTTTGTTTGAAAATTTAACTTATTTTTATATTTCACAAAATGTATGCAATCAAGAAGTGAATTAACTATTTTATAGTGATTGTATTGGTACAAATATTTATATACCGTCATTATCTGTAAGAATAAATTGCTATAATGAACAATTAAACTTTACGTCGTGAATTTTAGATTTTATATAGCTAAATATCTAAATAATATTGTTAAATTATGTGTATATACATCTTGGATATATCATCCGTTTAACGATATTCGCACTTCAGTACTCGGAACGATGTTTACTGACAACGATTCAGTAAGATCGTACTTAATTATTAACGTACTTTTGTTTTCCAGTAATATTTTATCCGATCAATTTCATCCTAGTTCTATGATCAAGCCTTTTAATGTAATAGCTCCAACAGATGTTTTTAATAACGTCTAAATATGTGCAAAATATGCGGTTCCATCGATGCATTACAACTATATAGGGACAGGGAGCAGGAGAAGAATTCTTATATCGTTGATCGTACAACAATTAACGTGAATTAGTTAGGTTCGAATGTCTTTTTCAGTAACCGCCAAAATTGCTGAAACTTTAAAACCATCGAAATGAAATATTTTTTACATTTAGTACACTTACGTAAACTTAAAAGTAATTGTTTAATACGCATATATATACATATATATAAATACACTTTTATATATTTATATATATATTATGCACCCTTATATATTTATATATACTTATACATATGCATAACATGCAATTGGTTCCCAGATTCCTTTGAACTTCGTACATATGCATGTTTACATAATAATTTACATTACCAATCAATAATTTTATCACATGTAAAATTTATTCTATTTACATTAACTTTTCACGTCTGGAATGTTCAAGCAATTTATATGCGACTCGTGATAACGTAAAAACGACTCCTTTTTATTCTTTTTTGACCTGAGAATCTCAAATTTGATTAGGGTCAAGCTCGTGCCATTTTAATTTCCATTCGCTTCAATTAATGAACTTTGTGTAACTTTATAATTATCATACTAAATTGAATTTCAGTTTACTCGTATGTGACTTTTTACATCGCTAAATTCTCATAAATTCCTTGAAAATCAATGTTTGAAGATTACATTCTTGAAGATTACAGTCGAAAGATTTATACGGACAATAATTTAGAGATTATATACAGTGTCACTTATTATTTACGAAACTACTATGCCACAATTTGATGGAACTATGTATTCCTGAAACTGTAATTTCTTCTTGTACAAATTTGTTCATTTCGGTAAAAAATTGATGAAATTGCGCAATTTTACTCTATTATTTTGCTTTTGTTTATCGTATACCAACTACTTTCGTGTTCCCGTATATATTGCTGATACATATACCCGAATTCTTTTTCTTCATATAATTAATGTACATAATAATATTATCAATCATTGTAATGCTCATCACGAGTAATAATCCACGAGTTAAAAAATTTCTTATAAGAAGTAAATCATAATTCCGTGTTTAAATTCTCAGCAGCATATTTGCGAACTTATAACTAACTTTTGATTTGATATGATTTCTCGCATGGTCAACAAACTGTAGTCTCTTAATAGTAATGCATATTTTAATTAAAAAAAATAAGAATAAATTTATTAAAAAAAAAGATTGTTTAATCACAATTATAGACAAAGTTAAAAGGTTACAATAAATATGCGAGCACACGAAATTTCTATATGAAAAATAAATAAGCATAGTGATGTATGCTTAATTCAAGTACGACGATTACGTATGAAGGATTTCTTCAGGTATGTGCTTTCAATTTTTGCTTTCAATGCCATAGTGTATATCAGCAGATCATAATTGATCTCGCGATGAAAAGTATATTCTTTTCTATAAAATATATCGGTATTTCTATAAAGAACGATGTTTACATTGGAAAGCATAAAAATTGAAATTGTTTTCACAAAAATTGGCTCAGTAAAATGTGACTAAAAGAACATGATAACAATGTGCAATAGGTGTCAGGTACATTTTGGAATTGATGTTATACTCAGTGCAAAGCTTTAAAGTCAGCACAAATATGCTGAAAGATTATTTATTATTTCCATGTGTAATGTCAATATCACATACAAGTACACTTTAAAGCTTCAAGAGAGAGGTCCTGTAACTGAGCGTTTGATCACTGTGTTTCATCACAACACATTCCAAACATTTCCTAACAGCCATATTGCTAATATTTATCTGTGGTAACGTAAAAAAAAAGAAATGCTGTATGTACATAAACGGCAACCTTCAGTACAAAGACTGAAATAAAATCAACAGTTTAGAAGATTTTACACTGCTTTTTCCAGCTTTCCTCATGCCATAGAAATTGTAACATTAATTCCTAGATTTCCGTTATCGGCAAATAATTGCGCGATCGAAGTGTCAAATACAAGGCAGTCTGAATTTAAAATAGCGGATGAAACACCCTCGTGAATAGAACGCGGCATGGCTTCCCATGTTAAGCGCCTTTTATGCCCATTCAATTCCAGTCTGTTGAACACGAACATTGACATGTTATCATTATTTGCTTCAATAACAGCAACTGTTTATTATTTTATCTTTTGTCCACGCTATGATATATATTTACCTGTAAGCAAAATTTTCTGCTTGTTTTCTCGAACCAATCAGTTGAACAATTGCAAAAAATTGTTGATGCCCATCGTATTTTTCTTGCTTTTCAAGCACTAGCATAAAATGATGTCCGAAACAGGATTGCATCATTACCCAATCCACTGCACCTGGGAGATTAATATCTGTTGCTAAAAAAACAATGTCTTCCCCTGTAATAAAAGTGATTTTGACATTTGTGTAATTAAAAGAAACATAAATGTTTTAATTAATAAAATTACCTTGAAGGGTTGTAATGCTTTTGTGACTCATAACAAGATGTGGCATTACTTGCTCAAGAGACCCTTGCCATTTACAAGAAGCACCTGGACAAGGACAACTGTATGGACGGAATTCACATGCATCTTCATGATCTGCCTTCTCAGTATGTACGAGTGAAACTGTGCATCCACTTGTTGAATATTTGCAAGGGAACATTACGTTACCCGCTACCTTTTCCATTGCTAGATTTCGGATATTACCTGCATTATAGGTTCGCAGAGAATTATTCATTAAAGCGAAATTCACAAGATTATTTTCAATCATACGTGTTCCATTTTATTAATATCTAGATACCTAATGGACCTCTACAGGTAGGACAGCAGTTAAGCTTTGGTCTGCAATTACTACAAACAAGGTGTCCACTCTGGCATTGTAAAATCGGTGGAAGAACATAATCAAAACAAACTGGACACTCAAAGAGGCTTGCTAAGTCAGTTGAACTGCTCAGAGACGATACAGTAGAAGCGGAAGAGCTTGCAACACTCCTCCCTCTCTTTCCAGTACTAATACTTAGTTGGGACATTTTTTCCCTCTTATTTTATGTATCAAATAAGAACACTTTGTCTTTCAGTTGACAAGAAAATCCATTTAATTTGGAGATGTTTAATAAATGCGATGCATTTTGAAATGAATCATCCACCTCACATCTGTAAATTATTTGAATTTCAACAACATTACATATACAATAGATATAAAATTTAAATGTATAAAAAACCTTGTTAATTGGAAAATTCAATTAAAATTCTACAATTGTACCTTTGCATAAAATGTAAGTTACTTTAACTCGCTGAAAAATATACATATTTAACACAAGTTTAATGCAACTGTCTTACAGTATGTCTAGTCTAAAGAAACATTATATATCATTATTAATTTTTATACAAAATAATAAAGTTCTTCATTATATACATTATTTTACAAGTATTCTACATTGTCAATAATATTTTTAATTTTTAAACTTTATTAATTTAATTGTTATATAAGACTAAAACAAACTTTATTTATATACTATTACTTATAAAATGTGCTATGTTTTATTTTTCAATTAAACTAATGTATTATAACACATTACACATATTTATACTTGTTTGATATTAAAATGATACAACAAAAATTTTGATCAAAGCAATCCTTCCATTATTTTTATTCGGTCAATTTTTACTTAACCAACGTTGCATTAAAATATTTATAACATTTTAGCAAAATACTAGGAATGTACTATTATAATATTAAAATATTGTACAAATATGCATTTAATCAGAACACACACACTTCTTATGAAACATTTTCCTAATTAATTAATTTTATGCTAAAGCAAAAGACAATTAGTGTACACAAGTATACGTTTTATATACGTATTGTCCAAATCAATTGATGTAAGAAAAAAATTGGATTTTTCATCGACATTTTCGCAAAGGGAAAGAAAAATAAAGAGAAAAAAGAAATACTGTTTACAATGCTGCGAATCAATAAAATAGTACAATGTAAGAAAGATTACGTTCGCATCGATCGGACAACCATTTATCGCGTGTGCGTCAATTATCATTCTCTTCGAGAAAAAAAAAAGAAAAAAAAAAAGACTCGTGAGTTTGCTCGACGAGCTTTTCTCGTGTTTCGTGGTATTTAACAAATTTTTTCAACGACGTTTCATTTAACAAGTTGTTCAATCGGGAAAGTAACAGACAGAGGAAAAATCTTGAGGAACATCGAGAAGAGAGTCACGGATCACGATTTTACGATGAATCAACGATCAACAAATAAACAATGCGCAAAAAACACGAAAGAACGCAGGTGAATCGTCTTGCGAAAAATTCTACGCGACACAAGGCACACGAATTCGTGTGACTTAAAAAGAGAGAAAGAGAGAGAGCTGCACGTTAAAACACTTACCGTGTTGCAAATTAACAAACGTATTAGGACGTCACTCTGCGATGCGTACGCTGGTTTTCGCGCGATTGAAGTCGGAAAATAGCGAGTCAAAAGCGTGTGAGAGGGAGAGAGAAGGCACTTGAGGATGGTGGCAACGAAGATACAAAGGAGGATGGAAACGTCGAGAATAACGACAAAGGATGACAACGACGACGGTAGACGAACGTTTTTGCGAGAACAACAGCAGGAGATTTCATGCGACCTGGCTTCGAATACGCAGCACGAAATGCTCCCGATACTTCTCGGTACATCGATGAGGAATAAACGCGAACGCGATGAAATCAGCTAGTGTAAGAGGCTACATCGCGGGTTCTCTCGGCCAGGCGGGCAACGTTAATTGCAACGTGACTTTCGTTTGTTCTCGCTGAGGCATAGTAGCAACTCGCTCCTTTTCCGAACCTCCTCCGACACTTCACGCTCCGTTTCCGTACAACAAGACCCACAGCAAGATGATGACACTGCAGCTGTCTGTCCGACCGTACGTCCGTCCGTTTACACCCAACGCAACGCATGCAACTGCCATTTACCAGCGTTAAGCCGCGTTTCTAACGGCCGTTTTCATAAATGACAGAGGAACGTTTTATATGTTCCACTTTCATAGGGGAACGTTCTTTACGACGAAATACTGCACGTACACATATATATAAATATTTTCGCAGACTTGCCGCGAAAATGTTAACTAAACGAAAGTGTATATGACTATTTGAAAATTTGATATATATGTATTACGTTATTTATATTCCCACGCTTTTCCTCTTTCCATTTCTAAAAAAAACTTCAAAATATTTCTCGTTAAAATTGATCGATGGTTCACAGATTGAACCATTAGATTCGGGTGGTCATTATTAATTTTATCTATTGTATCGGATACATTTATTTATTTATTCCGATTATGTAAATTTTCTACTAGTAGAAAGTAATTCTATAAAAAAAATTTAACGACCATAAAATTGGAATTGGTAGTATGTTAAAATTCGTTTAAAGTTAGGATTGAAGGAAGGATTTGTATCAATCTATCATTTCTGAGATAATCGTTTGTAGTTGTATGTATATATGTATATCATTACAAGAATGCTTTTCTGTTTATTTATAAGCTTTTGTATTGAAAGAAGAATATCACAAAAATACTTTTCAAGTAATGAATATTTTATTTTTTGTTATAATTAAAATATACACTGTGTCATGGGTGAAACAGGCGAATAGTAATCAATAGTAACAAAATATTTGTGTTATTTCCTTTAATTCCACAATCTGATCTCTTTTTTTTATATATATATATTTTTTCCACACGCAGCAAACATGGTATACACAGTATACAGATTTACTTTTCAAAAGCACAATTAGTTTGGCTTAAAATACCCTTTGTAATCTTTTCTCCCCCTTTAGAAAACTGTCCATTTTCTGTGTATACGTGTATTATGAAAATTATTTAAGCCAAACTGTCGTAACTTTTGTAACATCTGAGAGAAACTTGAATGTTTAAAGCCTTATCAGCCTTGTGTGTAATATAATTTCGATGTACCTAAATGTAATCCCCACAATGCCATATCTACATTTGCTATATGTAATTATTTTGTCCTCTTTAAACATTTCTTTTTTTTTTTTTTAATTCCAGAAAATCACAAGATGGTATTGGCTGTCAAATTCTCTAGTATTTGTATCATGTCGAATGATACTCTACACATTAACAGTCTTCTTGCGATATGAAGAGCAGTCTTTGTACACCAGACAGGAACAACTGTTTGATGCAAATGCAAAAAATGTCATAGTAGCCTAAATTATACAAAAGTTATATTTCCGCTAGTTTCAATGCCTTAAACATTCTGTTGATTCCGCGTTTGCAAAACGTTTTTCACATAACAAGCCATGATCGTTTTTGCTATAATTATATGAGTTTTATGTGACATAGGAGTACACGAGTGTAGCAACGTCTGAAGATCAAAAGTAAAAATTGCATCAATGCAATAAATTATTTTCTAAGATGTAGCTTTTAACAAAGATAAGAAAAAAAAGAGAAACAAAAAACATAAAAAAAGAAAGAAAAATGCTAAATAACTCGTTATAAAATTCTGTGCACATTACAGTATATTTATTGCTCTTCCAATGTAATTTCAAATGTGATTTTAGAATATTTTGTGACCATCTTCTACCACTCGCGCACTCTTCGCTTATCTACCCAGGACGTTCATATTTTAATTATATTTATTTTGAAATATTTTTATCTTTCTCTTAATTCCTACTGTATTATATACTAATTCGCACACGTGTACAGCATTACGTATGTGCACACGTATATATATATGTATATATATATATTACATATATATATATATATATATATAAACATACGAAGATACGTACGTTTCCTATCATACCTTATGCTTTGTATAAGTTACAGAACTTACTTTAGTGTACAAACAATCATAGATGATACTAGATAATACGTATAGGTTATAAATTTATGAGGAAGAAGTACGTTTAATTAGTAGTACGAACCGTTGGTCCATGAGTGGTGTTTCGTTTTATGTCTATTGATTACCTCTAACTGACATGCTTTCTGAACTGAAACTGTTTATCGACATGAAGTCCTATTGTAAACGACACAGCGTTATGTTTCCTAATATAATAAGATTAACACCAAGCATATAATAAACAATACTTTAGTAATGCAACTTAAGATGCTAAAGAATAATTAGAGTATTAAATTATAAGATATACATGTTAGTATTATGAATCATGAATAACAAGAAAATAGGAGTAAATCAATCATTTTAATTTTTAGTTTATGTATGGTTTCTATGTAAGAGAAACAGTTTCGTGTATGAAGCGTTTGGTTTTCATAAAAATATTTGAACATCTATTTCAGTAGTTTTTATGAACAGTTTGTCTATGTAGTAAATGATAAAATGTGCATAGATAGAAAAAGACATGATTCTTTTGACTGGTTAAATTATACCAATTGTAAAACATTGAAAATACATTTCCTTTTTCTTTAGTAAATGTACATAGAGCTACCTAGTATTTTACAGACCCAATGTACAAAGATCAGGGAATTTGGGGCTTTTATACAAGTCCCACAACGACTCTATAAGCTCTTTTATCCCAAATTTCCCTATCTCAGTCTTAGTCTGCATACAGACAAAGTTGGTCTACTCCTTACTATGTTCTTGCCTTATCACCAAATTCTGAGTATACAGGATTTATAAATTCATTTTTAATATGGTTGATGTCTCTGAAATTGTCGTGGTCCCTGACCATTTCCTCGTGGCTTACCTTGAGGCCCATATCCCATATTGTCATACCCATCGTAACCAGCATAATCATAATTTGCATACATGTCGTCGTATCCTCCTTGATAGCCGTTGCAATATTCGGGAATGTAACCATAGCCTCCTCCATATCCGTAGCCAAAGCCTGGCCCCCAAAATCCTTGATTCCTTGGATCTGGATTAACTTTTACTTTCTTGACATCCACTTCTTTCCCATTTATCGTTTGTTTGGGTGTTTTAAGTAACTTGTACACTACTTCCTTTGAGTCAAATGTTATGAAACAGAATCCTTTTCTCTGATTTTTTACCTTGTCAAATGGCGCTTGTAACTCAACAATCGTACCATATTGTCCAAAGTATGTTTTAATATCTTCGTCGGTAATTTCAGGAGTGAGGCCGCCTACGAAAATTTTTCCGTGTTGCGGCTTTTTACTCACCCGTTTAGGATCCACCTATATGAAAAAAACAAAAGAAATTAGAGACAACGTACAGAGCCAGTCAAAAATTATATTTTAAGCAGTAACGTGAGATTTTTACTTTCCACGAGTGTAACCAACCTTCCTTTTATTGATGTAATGCTCGCCAGAAGCCAAAAGTTTGTCGATTGTTTTAGGATTGGTGAATACCATAAACGCGAAACCTCGTGAAATACCGGTGTATGGGTCAATTTTAACGGAAATGCTCTCGATTTCTCCAAATTTACTAAAATGATCCCGCAATTCTTTATCGGTAGTGTTACGCGATAGGCCGCCAACGAAAAGTTTGCGTTCGTCGTCCTTGCCTGGAATTCCGGCGGTAGCTTGTTGCTGCTGCGGCTGTTGTTGCGACTGTGATTGCTGTTGCTGTTGCTGCTGCTGCTGCTGCTGAGATTGCTGTTGTTGTTGAGACTGCTGTTGTTGGGTTTGTGTCTGTTGCCCGGTGCCCTCAGTTTGGGCTTGATTCTGGTAACAGTCAACCGCCGCCATCGCGTATTGTTTAGAACTTACCGCGTTAAAACCACGTCAGAAAATACAAATTGGTCTGGTCGAACCGACGAGACGAGTAAATGCAACGTTGTACTGCGCACCAGAATAATTTCGGAACAGTTGGCACGCGTCACAGTCGGTTCTTATGGTGAACCGGTGCCGGCTTACGACCGAAAGAAAGAGAGTCAGCAACAGTTTCCGATTCCCTCTAAGCCTATATTAAAATGACGCTATTCGTTCTTTCTACTCAGACGCAATTCATCTCTCCAATCACAACAACAGATCCAACAGACAACGGCGGAAATTCCAGTTCGTTTCCGGTGATCGTTTCATTACTAACTTTAATCAATTTTCCAAAACGATGGAAAATTGACGGGCTGGCATACTTATTTGCTCTTTAAATATTCAATTTATTTTTATAATGCCTTCATGTTCCCGTAGCGAGCGATTATTGAAAGTCCTTGAGCACTGCTGAACCTGAACAATGCACGAACACCTTTGTTCCTAACTGCGAGATGAGGGTCTGTATTTGCTGAAAATCGTACATTGCCAATTCGTGCTACGAAAATTGCCATTGTAACATTTTCCCGTGCGACAATTACTTTTCTCTGCGTTTTTTCGCGTAAAAAATCGATTGAAGGTTAGGTTAACGTTCATACATGTATTCAGATGACCAAATTGATTTTTTGGTCAGTGACATCAAATTTATGTGATATCGTTGTTATTCCATACTAAATTATGCAAATTATGGCAGTACGCACAATTCATGCATACAACTGAAATTATTTAACGTATATTTGCAATTGTAAAACTCGAATCACCGTAACGTCTAAATCTTTACTTTTACATTTGTAAATGTGAAAGCCGAGGAATGATTTAAAAAATTTAATCAGTATGTAAACGAGTATAATGAATAAAAAAATTGAAATAGAAAAAAAATGTATCAAGCGTCATATGTTGTATATAATGTTTCAACTCGAATCACATTTGGTTTCGATTCTGATTGAACATTTTTCATTGCAAGCGATATGCACATGTAAAAGTTGTCAATCAAAGTTGAAAGACAATTACCGTACGTGCAATTTCTGTTCAAAAATTTGGGAGCATGTGGTGTTCTTACTTGTTTGTGCACCATTTAAAGTCGTTACTTTCTCGATATATGTATATGTATATAAATATAGTCAGACAGAGAAGACTATATAAATAAAACACAGGCCCTCGGCAACCCCGGCTTATCTTTTCTTCGGTCGAACAGTTTAAGAATAGAATAAGGTTCTACTGGTAGACTGACTCGTTGTTAATTATAGAGTATACTCCGTTGTGCGTATAATATACAAAAAAAAAAAGAAAATGAGCAAAAAATGCGTCATACGAGAACTCAACGGCGAAATGTGTGCGCATGAAATTTGAAATGATGCAAAATATAATGAAAATGTTCATCAAACGTTTTCGTATGAATGCAGTAAAAAAGAAAAGTTCTCTTTGTTGTACTGTTTTACCATAGTTCCAACAGCAAAGGTAAGTGTCGATGAACTCACTCGATGGCGCCACTAGATTTACCAGATTGGAAATCGATCATATATAGAATTTCAGTTTACGCGGTTTTTATTTCTCAATTTGGTTTGCACTTTAAACTCAAACATTGATAAAATCGACGCTGGTGGAACGTCTGCTTGTACGGAAAAGTAATCCTGTGTTAAAATAAAGAGTGGAAGATCGACAATGAGACATTGGCATATATAACGTGTGCAAGTACTTGCTTACATTGTACTTACGTCTACTTGTGTGTGTATATACAAATGCATATATCAGAGGACAAAATCTCAGATTTGTACGTTAAGTATTCTTTATGAACAAAGAATTGATTAATTTGGATTTCATTCTAATTTCGATTGTCAATTACAGATTACGTTTGACGCGGTATTATCTTTATTCAGACGATTATGCTCATCGTCCAGAATGGGTATAACATTTGTTGTTAATGCTTTGTTGAAAAATCAAGCGCATAAACAGATGCAAGACTTAATTGCGCGATTGCAAAAACATGTGATTTATTTGATGGCGTACAAAGACGAGTACGTAATTTCCACGCAATTAAAATGCAATTTGTTGTGTACTACTATACCTAACCCCAAAACTATAGCTTTTACGCCGAAGGAACAAATTTATTTACCAAGGAACAACATTCCCTTCCGATTGATTGAGGGACAACAATGACATTCTCCTTTTTCAACCTTACGAAAGAGGTTAGGTTGGTCTTTTTTTTGATCGTTCGCCGAGTTCGTTTATTTCGTCGTTTCCATCCTTTTATCAAACGTGTTCCCTTATGATCCTCGGTTTTCTTTCACCGCTCTCCGATGGATCTTGCTCGTGCATGAAGACTGTCGCTGGAAAGAGCGGCAACGAAGGAACACGGCGCGAAGCGTCCGCTCGGACGCCGTACTCTTGGAGGGGAGTTAGCCGAGGTAGAGAGAAAGAGAGAGGGGAGGGAGTGGGGCGTCGCGACGCCAGGCGTCGCTGGCGTCGAACCGGCGCGGCAGCATATCATTGAGTCGAACGTGTCGTGTGCCGTCGCTATCGTCACCGTGATCGTTGTCGTCGTCGTCACGGTTTTTCTCCGAGCAGATTTCCAGGAAAAACGCCAGAGAGCCGAAAACCTCTGGAGCCGTTCCCCCTGCGCCGATTGGGCGCGAACCCCGTTCCTTCGGTGAAGTTTGTTTCCCCCCCCTCCCCCGACTTTCGCTCTCGCTTTCGCAGTTTTTTTTTTCCCCCCCGTCGATCGAATCAACGCCCGAGCTCCCGGTCGTGGAAACGGTCGTGGAAACGATCGCGGCGAGTAGGAAGTGTGCACGCACAACGGGCCGCACAGCTACGCGTCACGGTCGGCTGGAACGAGCGGGGTGACGACCGAAAAGGGTTTCGTGCACGGCCATGCCCGGGACGGAAAGGCCAGCGTTTCGCGAGTGCAAGCCGAAGAAAAGGTGAAGAAGGGAAGAAGGCGAGCCAGGGAGAGGACGCGGGAGAGAGGGAGAGAGAGAGAGAGAGAGAGAGGAACCCGGAAGAGAAGAGCAAAAAAAAAAAACCCGATTCTGGAGTATCACGATACGAGCAGCGATCGAGCCCAGCGGAATTGCGTTGATCCGTTTGAGAAGATCATCGAGATCATCGAGAAGATTCGCGAGGGTGCGAGCTGGACGATAACCGTAGTATGAGAGAAGAGCGGCACGCAGCGAGAAGGTAAGGCATTCGATTGATTTGTCGCCTCGATGTAGACGACGCCTTTTTTCCTTTTCTCGCATTCTAAGTTCTAATCCATCGTCGGATATACGCGCTAGTCAGATAGAGAATCGGCCTCTACCGATCTACTGTTTCTCGCGTTCTATCTCGGATTCTCTACTTATCTCGGGTCATCTGTGGTAGCGATAAGACTGGTGGATCCATCCGATCACGGTGTCACGTATCGGTGAATACGACGAGGGTTGGAAAAAGCTTCTCTGGGAACAGAAAAGTGGGAATTGGGGGGGAGGGGGGAGTGGCGGGTGGGTGGGGGGGGGTTGTGAGGGAGGTGGGCGCAGAAGGCGATAGAGAAGGGGAGTGGAAGAAGGGGGTGGCAGAGACGAGTTGGTGAAGGAGCAAAGAGAGAGAGAGAGAGAGAGAGAGAGAACGCGTAATAACTAAGTAGGTGCATCATGAATAATACCCGCAGCTTGCGAACAAGTATTGCGTTCGTCCGATTCTGCGTTGAGTGGAAGACGTAAGACGCCGCCGAAGGTGTGTAGAAATACGCACGTATGTATATATACGAACACCGAGATGCATTACATGTATATGCATATATTTGCGTACATATAAATATAATCGAACGCACCCAGATATCTATTTATAAGTTTAAACACAGGGCGAGAGAGAGGAAAGAGTGGTGGTGGTGGTGGTGGTGGCGGTGGTGGTGGTGGTTACACACTCGACTCACATTGGTAGATACATACGTGTGCGTGTCGAGGAGATCTGTTGGTAGTGGTGTTCGCCGCTGGTGATCCCACGATGATGCTGCTACTACTGGTTGTAGTGGCGATGATCCTCCTAGCGATCCTAGTGGCGGCAGTAGCGGTGGTTTGCCCAGCGTGCCGCAACGTAACACGCGCGGCCCGTGAAACAGCTCTCCTCTGTCTCGCTTTCGATGCAAACGACAATTACGACCGACTCAGTAGTACTCGGTAGACGACCGAGGGACGATCAGAAAGACGACGCGCGACCCGACGGACGGACGGGTGGGTGGTTGATCGGACGGAAGGTTAGCGTGCCCGTCAAGATCGTCGAAAGTGGTTTTTCTCTCGCCGCGGTGTGTCCGTCGGTCGTGCGACGAGTACGCGAGGAGGGCAACGAGTAATGTAAAGCGGCAGTGGGGCGAAGAAAACGAAGAGAAACAATCGTCGAGGACAGAGCAAGGAGAGGATAAAGTTTTGTGGTGGCATTGAAGGATCAAGGCAGTGGCCGCGAGTGCGTCAACGCGGATATGACGAGCGGTTACGCCCGGTTCACGTGATACGCGTCACGATCGCTCCACCGACACCGCTCTCTCTTTCTTTCTCTCACTCTCTCTGGCAAGATATGTGGTAAGTCGTCAGATGTACCGTGTAAAAATCGACTCGAGCGGTCGATCTTCTTGGCGAAATCTTCTGTGTACGCTCGGTCGGCGTACCGTTTCGATTGCCGCCTCTTCGGCAAGTCTACTCTCTTCGAATAGGTGACGGCTCGGGACTCTGGAAACACGTGCGCCCTCGAGAATCGCATCGTTTCAAATCTGCTGTTTTCTTTGAGTCAACGAAACAAGTTGCTCTCTCTCTCTTTCTCTCTCTATAGTATATAGTATTGTAGATACTATACACACGCGGATTCGATCGAAATTCCTCGGTTTGTACAGTGGACGATGTGTCCGATTCATTAGAAAGCAAAGCGCAGTTTTCGAGTTCCGATCAAATTTTTAACAAAATCAACAAGCTTGATACTATACTCGAGTCTATTCTGGAACGTCATCGTGGAAGATCAATAAGAAAAAAAAAAAAAAAAAGAAATTGATAAAAGCTCGGCGAAATGTCTGTCATGAATTAGAAAACGCTCCAGTGTGATGCCCCAACTTTGTGCAAAAGGCTCGATCGTTAATTCGAGTTAGAAAGGACAATACCTAAATGC